ATCTCCTCACGTCTGTGCTTCTCAAAGTGCATGCTCCTGCCCAAAGAATTGGTATGTTTCTTTAGTAAGTTGGATGACAAATAGGATTTTGCAAGACAGCAGTAATGTTCTGAAACCTTCAAGCCTGGTCTCAGTAAGGAGCTTGTAGAGCTTCCAGAAGAACGTCTTCCATTCTTTTTCCTGTTGTTCTGGGGGCTTTTTGGTGCATATAGTGGACTTTGCAGGGCCACAGCATGCAGTGGACTGGGATAGCGATACACTTCCATGCCCTGGTGGCCTGGAATATCAGAACGGTAGGTGGGTTGCAAGACAACTTTGGGTTGAAATATGTCTGAAACATCTGGCCAGTGCGAGTCTGGATACAGATCCACCACAAATCGGAAACCATCTTTAGGAATCGTCTCATCTGAGAAATGGGATTGAACTCCTCTGTGCTCTCGTAATAAAATGGGTCGGCTCCTCTGAGGTTCCTCAACCATGAAACATTCTCCATCTCCGAGAGTGTTCTTGTATTTCAAGGAGGCCAAAGAGGTGGAGAGAGAGCTGATGGTTTCATCACAGTCAGAGGGGGTAAAAACATCCCCAAAGTCGCAAAAACCTGAGCTTGTCCTTGACTGACTTTCCATGTGCGAGTGAAGTTCTTGGTCATGCCAGCTTCTTTCCGTCAGACACTGATGATGAAGCAGGTCTTCAGATGAATGACTGGAACATGACCAAAGTCCTCTGGATTTTCTAGCCTCGTGAACAGCCTCTTCAGAAAAACTGCGCTTGAGCTTTAGTCTGAATGAGTCTTTATTCACACAGTAATCATGCTGTCTCTGCTGGATAATCGTTGATGTTGAATCTTCAGGATCAACTTTGGTTTTTCCCAGGGCCGTCTCCACCATTATTTTGTGTCTGACTCTCAGGACCTCCAACTCCAGGAGTCCTGCCAAAGTAGCACGAAATCGCTCTCTAATACGTTTCCTCCCAGTGCTGGTCCATAGTGCTGCTTCAGTCTCTTCTCTGTGCAGAGCATTAGAGAACATCCTGGTAACAAGCTGAAGGCTCTAACTCTGGCTGCCTTTCACACTGAAGGTCTTTATAGCGAACTCACCCATATCAATGCAAATGCATTTAATTCCAGACATTTCTATTGCTCTACCTGTCTATTGATAAGATTTTCACTAACCTTTGACCTTAGGTGAAGAATTTGTTAAAGATAAAATGTAATGCTATCAATGTGAGATTAAATTTTAAAAGTTAACAAGGTTAACATTTGGGAGATAAATATCAATGCCAGTGATAGCTTTAGCTCTTGTTATAGTATATGTCATTGTGAGCATGAAAGCATTTTAGCTATTCATGTTTTTTTTAAACAATTTAATATTAAAGGCAAGACACCACAGGTAAAAATTTTAACTAATATCACTGTAAATGTTTTTTTTTTACTGAGGGGATTTTGGTTTGGTTTGATTTCATTTTATCACTCCATAAATCAGAAAATACAGTCAACAGCCAGAAAAAAGAAAAATCTCTTGCCTTAATTTTGCAACAAATTTAAACAGTCAAATGTGTAATCAGTCACATTTAAAATACACTTTCAATGCAACACGACATACTATTTTTTTCATATTGTTTTTATATCTTTCTTCAAAGAACGTTCAAATCAATTACATTTGAAAATGGCCTCTGTAGTTCTATTCTTAATAAAGTAACAGTTGGTTGTTGCATCTTCTGATGTTATCAAAATATGAAAAAAACGAAGGAGCTCTGTATTCTTTAACTTCTAATAGTGTCTTCAGAAATTATTAAATGCAGTTACATTTACACAAAATTCCTATAAAGATCTCAACATCCATGACAAAAGCTATAAAGTAACTTATAAATTATAAGGCAACTATATCATTTAAATATTGCAAAAACACTCCTGCAATGATTGTTACTACTGTAATGATTAACAGGTAGTTTCATCTGCAATATAATCTCTCCTATCACCACTGGCAACATGTTTGTTAATGAATCTTTTTTAACTCTTTTACCCTTGTTCCACCTTGATTATAAATCAAGCCCTCTACATTAAACATTTACTACCAAGGAAAAAACATGTCACTCAATTTCTGAGTATCATTTTATTTACAAGCAGATATCAAAACATACAGCCCTGCATTTGAAGATGTGACAGCTCATACAGGACCTTTATACACTCCAACATATTTCAAGACAGAGCTTTCATTCATCAGAATCAGATTCATCATCTTGACTGATCTGGAAGTAGCGCAGCTCATAGCTTTCCTTATCCGACGCTACCACCCTCAGCCAGTCTCGCAGGTTGTTCTTCTTCAGGTAGTTCTTTGTGAGGTACTTAAGATACCTGAGGCACATGAGGTTGTTAGTATTTATACAAAGACTTAAAAAAGAACACTAATAATAAACATAAGCCTGCCGAGTCCACTGATGTACCGAATCTCACCTTTTAGAGAACTGCTTCTCTGATGTGAAGCTGATTTTGTTCTTCTGACGCACAATTTGCACTACATTTCCCAAGTTACCTGTTTTGCCATTAACCTTAACATCTCTTTCAGAAAGGTTTCCTGTTAGTAATAAAACAGCATGACCACTAGGGAAGAGAACCCTAGGCATTTAACTAGGGAAGGGAACCCTAGTTAGGGCACAGCGTTAGTGATGTGACTACCTGAACATAAATCATGACGATCATTAAAGGATACTTTATTTAAAAAAAACAACTTATGTGTTTGGATCAGAAACTAATCGATTTAAAGGGACATAATTTGAATGTATAGATCCTTGTAACAGGAACAAATAAAGCATTAATTTAGTTTTCTAGCCAATGCAAACATAACCTTTTTCAGCACAGAAATGTTGACTTTATACCATGTCTGGAAATTTCATTACATTTTCAGGTTTTCCATGCCCACAACATCCTGACCATAAATAAAAGTTTTTTAAAATATATATGTATAGGCTATACAACTTACAAAGTTGGCAGAGTCAAGGATCCCATCCTCCACAGGGTGAGTACAATCAAGGGTGAACTTCCAGGAAACACCCTTTTTATTTTTTTTCACAAGTCTGCCTTTTCTAAAGAAACAAACATATATTTTTTCATTTATATATAAATCCTAAATTAAACATCTACTTTCTCAGTTTAATACTGCACTCGTAATTCATACTTGCTTATAAACGAATTAATCTTATAAAAACAAATGAACACGTTATGAAACGCTGATAACCAAATACATTTGAATGGTTCTGTCATGCTAAAATGCTCATCCACGTGTCTCCCACTAGAAAGTCAAACTAATGGATTAATATATTATCCCTTTTGCAAAAACTAACTCTGGTTAACATAGGATATATAAATGTAATATATCTCATATTTTAATCACACAAAACTAAAAAATGTAATGCATTTAACCATTAAGACCGGTCAACACGTACCGGTGCCATCTTGGTGAGTTTGGCGTGAAAGAGGAGGAAGTAGCGTAGGTCCTCGCAAGAGTTCACAAAATTTTCTCGCATTTGATTGGCTGCCGGTTAGGGAGGATTCGTGAGGACTTTTTGGTTTAGTTCGGCGACGTCCGATTGGTGAATGAATCGTTCGTTTGAATGAGTCGGATCTTTTGAATTAATCAGTTGAACGTAACATAACCGATTTGAACAATTCGTACCAAAGATTTCACTGACGGGGAGAAAAGTAAGCTGAATAGCAGAACGTTACAATGAAAACGTACTTTTCTGGGGAAAAGTAGTACGTAATGTCTGACGTCAAAGAATCAGTTTCTTGAACCGGTTCTTTGAAACGAACTGATCGAAAGAACCGATTCGTGGATATTATTCATTTCGAATGTAGTTATACTTGTACAATATTAAAAAAAGTTTATTATTGTATAATATTTTAATATAAAATTGTATCATATATTTCTGTTCCACCACGTAAATGCGACCATTTAAAGTTATGTATGGCTTTTGACAATGATTTTTTGTTCAGGTTATATTTTTGTGAAATATATTTATTTCAGGTTATATTTTATGCATACTGTAGTATTGAAAACATAGATCTGCTGCATGGCTCTGTAGTTATTATTGTATATGGATGTAGCTGGCTTAACATGCAACTAACAATGACAAAAACATGAACCACAAATAGGCTATTCAAACATTCACATGTACATACACTGAATAGAGAAGGGAGAGACTGGGCTCTGCTTACTAAGGAAGCGTGACTCATCCTTACATCATTGTGCAGACATACCAAGACAAAATTGGGTGAGGCCTCAGGAAGCACATGGGCACAACCTCACTTGCCAGTTATTGGGCAGATTTCTGCTCTTGAACAAATTTAATAGGTACATATTCCTCTTTGGATACAATCTTCATTTTAATGCTGCTCAGCTACACAACAGCAAAACTGGAAACTAATCCATCTGAATTATTCACACTAAGAGGTTACTCAACATATAATTAACTTTGACTTTGAGAAAGTACTCCGTGGGAGCCAGTAGGTAGATGAAGTTTGAGTTTGAATAGACTGCAGTGCCACATGTCAGTCTCCAATACTGAACTGCAATACTTTCATTCAGTCAGTGTTGTCTGGGCACCAGGCCACAAACGGGAAATGAGCGTTTGGCTCCTCCCAGGCAGAGGATTTAGCAGCCCAACCCAACAAAGCGTTCGGTCTCTTTCTCAGTTAACTGTCCTCACTTTCTAAAATGACACATCCCATGTCATTGTGCCTATTTAAATTCTTTAATCTTGAATTTAACATTTAAAACCATACAATAGATGTTAGAAACAATTTTATACATGTATAATATAAAAATTTAGATACCTTCTTAGTTTGAGAAAATAAACATTGCAGGTTGTGCTACCAAGCACTGCTGTGAGGAACCCAAAATCATACCATCAAAATACACTTTCTATTTATAGAATAACATGAGCATCTTATTTAATGGAGTTTTCCCGAATGACCACAGACAAGTTAGACTCGGTAATTTTCCCCTGAATTTACACAAGTAGGATATTCATTCACCACAGACTGTAATACATTTTCATGTGTTAAATTTTACCAGATGAATATCTGCTGTAACTATGAAGGAACACCTTTAACCAGCCTTCTGGATCTTGTTTTAATACTGATCAAGTGTGCCATAAAAACAAAATTAAAAAGGTAAATCTATTCAGTTTTTATTTTTTGCTCTCTCCAGTCATGTGACAAAGGCCTCGAGTGAACAAAGGAAGATTAGAACTCAAAGATTTAGTCCTCAAGCTCAGTCTGGGGCAGCACTGATAAGAGCCTACCTGGAGACAAATACAGGCTTCAACACTTTATTTAAGGTCATCAATGACAGCCAAAATCAAGCTGGCTGCTATTGTGTTACAGAGGTATTCGCACATGGCCATCACATCCTTTCCACTTCTGAACAATTAGAGACTGGCATTTAAGGGGACATTTCGCTGGAGTTTATTTCTCGGTCGTAGCGGTTTTACTTGAGAAGGTACTTTTAAAGTACTGCAAGTAAAAGGAAGTGCCAACTACCAGTATGCATCTCACTTTGGGGTGGGGGGGGGCGGCATTCAATTGAGAGAAGTTAACTATAGTGCCAGCATGGCGTAGATCATGTAAGGAGGTAAGTAAAAGTATGACACCCAGAGAGAGGAAAAAAAAAAAAAAAAAAAAAAGTTCAGTGTCAGTTGGGGTTTCCTCTCTTCGCAACACCTTGCGTAAATCCTGCACACTAATTACTATTAAGAAATTCAAGAATACAAAAAAGGAAAAATGGATCCCATTATTTTACGTTCAGGAATGTAAGTGGTAAAAACTTGAGGGGGGACAAAAGGGGGAGGATGAGGGGGTAAACACACTGACAGTATTAAACCTCTTACCCGAGAAAATGCCAACTGACCCGACAAGTCCAGCACAGTATTGGAAGGAGAAGAAAAAAGGAATACAATCACAGCAAAAAAAATTGAGGTTGCTTGTGAAGGCCATAGCTTTGGTGACAAATAAAACCAAAAAAACAAATGCAAGAGATTTGTTAAAGTTTAGCATGTTGCAGCCTGAGCAGCCCAGTCTTTCTTCCTATTTGGTCATGGGTTTGACAGCCACTGCAGATTCTTCGCCCATAGCTGAAAGCACAGTAACCTGCCAAACAAAAAAAAGCAATGAGTGGGCTACAACTAGACTTGTGCCAGTATTTGGTAATGCGATATATCACGGTAATGAATATGCATGATATTGTTATCGTGGGCACTTCTAAATACCGTGAATAATTATACATGACAAATTATTCAGAATTTTGAATGCATTTTAAGAATACTTTTCCCATCAACTGGTCAAAATGCACAACACCGCTGTATGCTGCGTGAAAGACACGTGCGCACTCTGACCTAAACAAGCACGGACGAGAAGCACATGGCGGAACATGTGAGAGACGCTCTGGATGAAAGCGCACTTTCACTCTCTGACAGCAGATGGCGCTAAACTGCAGAAATGATAATAATAATAATATAATAATTCATTTAAATGCAGCCTTTACCCCGGAAACCCTGTAAACAAAGCAGCTGCACTACTTTCTGTTTCTGAAAGGTGTTTAAATGATTTAAACAGCCATTCAGATTTGTGTATTTGCTATGATGTTCATCACAGCGCCAAATACTTAAATATTTAGACTTAATAGGCTATTTATTTTCAAACTTTTTTTTACATTTTAATCTGGACTACAACATGCCCTAGATATTGTTTGAAAGTGTTTTGATTCTTTATTGTTCGGTCACACTTTACATTAGGGCTTCATTAGTTAACATTAGTTAATTCATTAGTTAGCATAAACTGCCAATGAAAAATTCTTTTGAACATTCATTAATCTTAGGTATTCCAATATTTAATAACATGTTGTTAAAATCGAAAGTTGCAACTGTGTTATTTAATGAGCTAACATGAACTAAGACTTGTATTTTTTTAAACAAGGATTAATAACTTCTGTAGCAAATGTAGCTATTGCTCATTGTGAATGTTAATGCATTAACTAAGGTTAACTAATGAGGTCTTATTGTAAAGTGATACCTATTGGTCTTTATAGTTCTTTTGCACTTTAATCTGTGTAAAACTTTTAACTTTATACATTTTTCTGTATTGCTTTATTGCATTTAAATGTTCAGTTATTTTTGTTATAAGAAAAATGTTATTGAACCTGTTATACTGTATTATGACCACTTTTTTTTAAACTAAATTTCAATATCGTGATAATATCGCACACCGTGATAAAAGCATGAGCAATTAATCGCAACATGAAAATTTGATACCGGCATATCCCTAGCTACAACTAGGCCTGTCACGATAACTTTTTGTTGTGCAATATATTGCCCCACAAATAATTGCGATAAGCGATATTATTGTCATTTTAAAGACCATTTTATGCCACTGAATATATAATCATAATGTAACAGCATAATAATGCAAGAAGGCCTACACACTTCCAAATGACAACAAACTTTTAAGAATATTTAGATCATGGAAATGAATATCAAAATATCAGATACCTTAAAAGACTTGAATAAATGGTAAATAAACATTTTCTAACAAAAAGTGCAAAGTAACAAGTAGAAAAAAAGAAAAATGCACAAATAACTTGTATGGAGATTTTTCCATCTACATTTTTCCCTGACCTTCTTTTCTCTGTAAATTAAGGGTGCACACTATTGCTGAAAAACACAATCACTACTCAGCAGTCAGATGTGCGTCAGATCCCTAAACAAAATAATATATGCAGATGAAACTTTGTTTGTAGAGGCATTTTTTAAATTTGAACTAGCTCCTCATGACTACACGTTATGTACGAGAAGCTGCAAAAGACACCGGCGCAAGTGTAATGTACAAAACATGGTGACATTAATTTTTAAGTAAATATAATGGGTGATATATTGCGTCACCAAAAATTATTGCGGTCATGTACATATATTG